CCTTGATTCCATATTTGTTTATTTTCCATAACGTTCGCACCATGGAAATGCATCTTTCATTATATTTAACTTTAATCATTATCCTAATTTATTTTCGGGCCTTTGAATTTTGTTTGTTATTGTTTTTAATTTTTAGTTTTATTAATTAAGTTTACATTTTAGCTATTATTTCTACAATTATTTGTTTATCGCTTTGTTTAGATTTTAGCATTTAATTTGTCTGATATCCATTTCCGTTCTTATCTCAATGATTGCCTTTAAGCTTCTATCATTTCTGTTATCGTCCTTAATTTTGAATTCTTTATATTGCAATCCTTGCTTTAGTATTTATATTTATTAGGCCTGTAAATGAACTGAACGTTCAACAAACCATTCATGAACCGTACGGCGGGAAGTTTGTTTATGTTCGTTTATTTATTAAATGAACGAACATGAATAAGATTTTGCATTCGTTTAATTAAACGAACGAACACAAACAAAGGGCTCGTTCATTCTTTTACGTTCGTGAACGTTCGATTATATGTTCGCTTATGTTCGTTCATTTATGTTCATTTATCTTCGTTCATTTATGTTCTTTCATTTATGTTCGAACAAAGGGAAAGTTGAATGTGTTACAAAGATTATTGAAGTTGTTTGGATTTCAAGAAGATTGTTTTGTTGAACAAATTAACTTTAAGACTTTATTATGTTCATATAGCTTATTTATGATTTATGTATGTTTTTGTCGTATTCGAACAAATTAACTCTAAAGTTGCATGTTATATTAATAAATTTTAAGTTATTCTTATTGTTTACTTTTTTTTTACATTCATTTGTTGTGTTCGAATAAGTTCGTTTTTTTGTGTTTGTGTTGTTTGTTTATGTTTGTTTATGTTCATTTATTATGTTCGTTTATTTTCGTTTGTTTGTGTTCATTTAGATTCGTTTATGTTCGTTTATCATTTAAATGAACGAACATGAACAAGCTATATTCCTTAATGAACGAACATGAACAATTTTTTTTGTTTATTTTTGTGTTCGTTTATTTATTAAATGAACAAACATGAACATACATTCGTTCGTACATGTTCGATTTGTTTACAGGCCTAATATTTATTAATCCAAGCTTATAAGTCTATAATTATTTCAGTTAATCTTTATACTTGTTTAATCTGCTATTTTCTTAATTAAATCCTATATTAAATTTCTTTGATTTAGATGGAACCTTTAGACTATATTTCTTTAATTTTAGTCCTTAAATTTAGGAGATTTTTAATTTGGTCCTCACTCTAGCTCGATGTTCCATTTTAATTATTCAAACCAAATAATTGGTTAAAATTGTCTAGGATAATAATTAGAGCCTCCATTTTAGGTTTAATTTCAAACTTAGCCCTTAAATTTAGTGGAATTTTTAATTTGGTCCTCACTTTTACTCGAGGTTCCATTTTAATAATTCGAATCAAATAATTTGTTAAAATTGACTAGGTTAATAATTAGAGCCTCCATTTTAGGTTTAATTCATAACTAGTGTTTTAATTTAGGAGAATTTTTTATTTGATGCTCGCTTATGCTCGAGGTTCCATTATGACTGTTCAACTCAATTATTCATTAAAAATGATTTGGATTAATATTAAAGCCTAGATTTTTAGAGTTAATCCCCAAGGTTCTTTAATTGCATAATTTGACACTTCAAGTTAGAGGGAATCCTTAATTTATTCGTTTAGTGTAATTAAGTTCCATAACTGATCGTTTGATTGCATTTTGTTTTCAAAATAGGGCAATGTATATTTATTAGGGGTTATTAATGTATCACCCGCTTCTGCCCGGGGGTGAGTGCTATTGATTTCAATGGTTTGATGAGGTAGCTTGTATGCTCCTCTACTAGAAGTGTTCTTTGACTCCCAGCTTCCATGGTCACACTCAGATTGTACGATGCCTTATCAAGGAATTTGTGCGATCGCATCAGCTGCACAATTTTTATATTTAAATCGCCTTTTTCAGTTTTCAACTCGAATCCTTTTTGTTTTTAAGACATCATTCAGAATTTATGTCTTGAACCCCTTTGATATTTTTATCTATCATGCATTAAAGATTTTAGAAAACCTTTCGCAAATAAAGATTAATCCTGATGAGAGGGATGAAATCTGAAGATAGTCTCTTCTGTTTAAAAATCCATGTATGATTAGAAGGGACTTTTAAGGCACGTAACGTAGGCCATAGTTTATGGTTATGAAAGAAATGGAAAAAGGCTGAACAAATGTTTAAGGGTGATTGAACCAAGGATCAATTCATTCTGATGCCTTCAATCTTGTCTTGCTCAATTTGAATCATCCTGTATGTGTCTCTCTTGATGCTATATGATCTTCGAGTGAAGTGATTCAGTGATTCTGGAATGATTGTGCTTGATCAATCTCATAGTTACGCTATTTGGCTTTAGAGAATCTTTGCATCTGCTTCTTGTCCCTTTTCTTTGTTTATTTTATCTTTGCTTCTTTTCTTTTTGATTTTTGTTCTTTGATTTTCTTTCTGCTTTGATTTGATCTTTTCACTTAGCATTTGGTTCACCTTTCAGTATCTCCTCTGATTTGATGTCTTTACTTATGCGAGTAGATTTCCTCCACCTTGCCCCCAGTGTGGAGGGTGATCCTTAGTTAGGGTTGAATCAGAAGAAAAAAATATTATAGGCTCAAAAGGGGACAACAAGTGATATATATATATATATACATATACGGATAAATGAAACAAAGTCGTTCATCATCTCATACACAAAATTCCTCGCAGAAGAGGCATCCTCAGGGGGATAGATTTTCAGGAATAATTTTTATTCACATGAAAACAATGTAATTAATATATGGTAGAATTATTTCGAACTAATTCTACTTTCTTCTTCTTGCTCCCAGTATATCTCAATGTTCAAGCTTCCTGCGAGATGTCCCAAGTTGAATCTTAGAATAAGGCTCATGTTCAAATGAACAACTGAATGCCTTAGGTTTTATTGGTATAAAAATGTTAATTTTGCGTCTAAAAAACAATGGTGTAACTTTTTTGACACAAAGAAAGGTATGGGTATGACTCTTTGTGTATCGAAAAGATAAAGGCAATGCTCAAAAGTTTCAAATGGAGGTAATGTCAAAATTTGGTCTTTTGGTAATGACCATGAGTTATTTTGGGTAAGGAATCAAGGTAATTTTTTGGTTTTGGACAGTATAAGAAAGGACTAATCTTGCCACATGTCAAAAATCCATAATTCTTGAAGAATTAAAAGAATATTTAATTCATTTGATATTCAAAGAACTAAAGATTAAAACTCGTTCAATTATTCCACCTTAGAAGGTAGCAAAAATTTAGTCGTTTAAAAGATTAAACAAATATGAAAGATCAAAATGTGTTCAAACAAAAGGGTAAGTTAGAGACCTCAAGATGAACTCTCTCCAGGCACACGTTAGCTGGACTAATGAGACCTCAGGATTAGTTCTTCTTTGCTATTTTTTCTTCTATTTTCGATGTTTTAGTGTTGCGCGGTAGATTCTGGTAGCGTCTGAGTTTTCTATGGCTTCGAATTTGGATTGGAGGAAGTTATTTGGTGGAATCGCTCGATTTCTTTCCTCTTGAGAAATTAGAGGGGATTTCCAGTGTAAAGCCTCCTGCTGTTGTGTTTGACGAGGGGATTGCTGAATGGGGTCATTCGATTGTAGGGCAATTCATTGGAGATGCTTCGAATTTTGGCTCCATGTAGAGGATTGTTGAGATCTTGTGGGGGGAAAACTCGACTGTGAAGGTTAGTCTTGCTATATCGAATCTCTACATTTTCTCCTTCTCTAACAAAGATATGAGGTATTGGATCCTTGAAAACGGGCCATGGCATGTGCATAACAAGCCGCTCATTCTTAAGAAGTGGGAGCCTAATTTACAGAGGCTTGATTTTGACCTTAAGAGCATCCCGATCTGGATTCAATTGTATAATATCCCTCTCGAGCTTTATACTAGACTAGGTATCAGCTACATTATGAGTGTTGTTGGGTATCCACTCTATATGGATTCTATAACGGCATCCAAAGAGAGACTTGAGTATGCCAAGGTCTGTGTTGAGATAGGAGTTGGTGTTGAGGTTCTTGATATGGTTCAGGTTTTGCTGAGTAATGGATCTATTGCAAGGTTAAGGGTTCACGTACCTTGGTTGCCTAAGGTTTGTCTGCATTGTAATACCTTTGGTCATCTATCCAATGTTTGCGCAGAGGCACCAGTTAAGAACAAAGAAACTCAAGTCTGGAGGAGGAAATAAAATCCTTATGGGGCTATTGCTGTGAGAAAAGTAGTTCCTACAGGATCTTCTTCCTATTCTATTGATCCTAATCTTGATGTTAGTAATTCCTCGAAGGCTAAAGATCTGCAGGGTGGTCCTGCTACAGAGTTGACTGTTGAGGCCCTTCGAGAGAGTAATCATGTTGCTTCATTCTCTGGTACTAATCAAGTGAAGTTGGTTAAGGCTGATGGAGTGGTCACATTGTGTGCTTCTGGTGATATGGATGAATAGAGGGTTCAGAATGATGCACCTACTGGTGATGTTCTGGATCTAGGTGATCAGCATGCTGCTTTTGGAGTTGCTGACCCATTGAGAGGGGATAAGGAAGCATCTAATGTTGGCCAGGATAATTCTCATATTGGTGGACACTATCCTTCTCTGTAATAATCCATTTTACAGAAAAAGAAAGATAAAGGGAGGAAAAAGGATAATGTGGGCTCTTCTAGTAAATTGGATCAATTGGTAGGTGGTAGTGGTTGTGACACTCGAAAGCCTCGGGCTGCTGCTATGGGTGTTGCAGTTCTGCTAAATGAGATTAGAACTAAGAAAAATGATATGATTGAGAAGGCTAAGAGTAGTGTAACAAGTTTTGGAGTTGGTAATGGAGGTCCCCCCATTCTTGTTTAGATGATTATTTGTTTCTGGAATGTGAAGGGCATAAATAATGTACTTAAACGAGGTTAAATTTTTAAAAGACTAGAATCTTAGTGTGGGTATCATGTGTTTCATGGAGACTAGAGTTAGGAGCTGTAATGTCTCCAATGTGGTTGATGCTTTTGTTGATGAGTGGAACTTTGAGGCTAACTATCAGTATATTGAAGGTGGTAGAATTTGGATTTTATAGAATAAGAGGTTGTTATTTTATGTGATTGGTGGTTGTGATCAAGCTCTATCCATTAAGGGTGATATTTCTGGTCACAGAGTTGTTATTACTGCTATTTATAGTAGTAATAACAGTCAGTCTAGAAGAGGACTTTGGGATTATCTAAGAAGTCTGGAGAGTGAGATTGGCCATTATTCATGGGTGTTGGGTGGTGACTTCAACGTTATTGTTGATGCCCAAGAAAGTTCTGACTATGATTTGGGTTCACACTCTTCAGCTGATATAGAAGAGTTCAAGGACTGCCTGGAGGATCTGGAGGTGCAGGATCATCATTTTGTAGGGCCTCTCTTTACCTGGTCTAACAAACAGGATGAGACCTATTTGGCTAGGAAGTTGGACAGGATCCTCACTAATTCCCAGTGGTTGCTGGATTTTTCAGATTCGTATATTGAGTTCAAGGCCCCTGGGGCTTTTGACCATTGCCTTGGGTTAATTTGGACTCAGAAAGAGGCTCAATTCCATAGACCTAAGCATTTCAAATTTTTCAACTGCTGGACTGCAAATGAAAACTTCTTGAGCAGTGTGAGGGAATCTTGGTCTATGCATTCTGAGGGCAATGCAATGCAGGTCCTGTTTAACAAAATGAAAAGACTGAAGCCTGTTCTGAAGGAGTTAAACAGGAATCATTTCTATGATATATCTGCTAGGGTAATTGCTAAGAAGGCAGAACTGGAGTTTGTTCAACTCTCTATCCTATCTGGTGCTAGCCATTTTGGGGTGGAAGAGGAAATAAGGTCCATGCTGAATTAGTGGATCTTGAAGTGGCTGAGCTTGAGTTCTACATGCAGAAAGCAAAGATTCATTGGTTGCAGGAGGGGGATTTGAGTACTAAATTTTTCCATCAAAAGGTTGTTCTCCATAAAAAGAATAACACTATTAGAGTTATTAAGAGTGAAGATTAACAATGCCATGAAACATTTGATGGCATGGCTGCTGAATTAGTGGACTTCTTTAGAAATTTAATTGGTACTACTGACCCCATGGTTCAAGAGTGTCCTCTAGAGTGTTTGAAGGAACTCTTGAGCTATACTCTGTATGCTGGTGCAGAGAGGGTTCTGGAGGGAGTGGTTTCAGATAGTGAAATTAAAGAGGCCCTTTTTAGACAAGGTAAAGACAAGAGCCCAGGACCTGATGGGTTCACATCCTGGTTCTTGAAGGTGGCTTGGGGGATTGTTCATACTGATTTCCTTAATGCTGTGAGGTACTTTTTCCAGTCCTCTTATCTTTTACTTGCCTTTAATGCCACTAAATTAGTTTTAGTTCTAAAGTCCTTGAATTCTTGTATGGCCAGGGAATTTAGACCCATCTCTTGTTGCTCTGTGGTATATAAAACTATTACTAGGATTTTGGTCACTAGAATTGCTCAGTTCTTCCCTGAAATGATCTCTGCTATCCAATCTACATTTTTCAAGGGTATAAGCATCACTAACAATACTCTTTTAGCCCAGGAAATAGTTAAGGGCTATTCTAGAAGAAATCTTTCTCCTAAATGTGCTATAAAGATTGATTTGCAGAAGGCATCCGACTCTATTAGTTGGAAGTTCTTATTGAATGTTTTTAGAGCTATGGGGTTTCCTATAAGATTCTTTGGATGGATTAAGACTTGTGTGACTACCCCTAGGTACTCAATTGCTCTAAATGGCAGTCTTGTGGGGTATTTTAGGGGTGCTAGAGGTGTTAGGCATAGGGACCCATTGTCCCGATACCTATTTGTAATTGTTATGAATGTTCTCTCCAGATTAATTGATGTTGCTGCTAGGAATGGAATTTTCAGATTCCATCCAAAATGTAAGAGAATTTCTCTCACACATCTCTACTTTGCTGATGATCTGCTTCTATTTTGCCATGGGTCTATGGAATCAGTGTTAGGAGTTAAAAGCATCTTAGAAAAATTCTATCATCTGTCTGGGCTCAAATTAAATGCCCTGAACTCTTTGCATGTGGGATTAATAGAGGTGATTTAGAGAAGATTCAAGTAGTAACAGGGTTTAGATCTTGTAATCTTCCTGTCAGGTATTTGGGAGTTCCTCTAGTGACTCGTAAGCTCTCAAGGAAGGAATGCATTGCTTTGCTGTAGAAAATTAAGGATAAATAGAGGATGTGGTTGAGCAGGAAATTTAGCTTTGGGGGGAGACTCCAACTTATTAAAGCTGTCCTTTTTAGTATCTTTACTTACTGGAGTAGGCAGTTGGTTCTGCCTAAGGATGTGATACAGGACATCGAGAGGATGTGCATGAGGTACTTTTGGAAGGGTAATGACTCCCCTGTTCGTGGTGAAAGAGTCATTTGGTGCCAGATTTGTTCTATCAAATCTGAAGGTGGCTTAGGGTTAAAAAGTTTGATTGGTTAGAATATAACCTGTTGTTTCATGCTTGTTAGAAATATTTTGGCCGGTGAGAAATCATTATGGGTTGCCTAGATTAAGGAATACTGCTTTAAACTTGATGATTACTGGAATGTTGAAAACAAATCCCACTTTAGCTGGATTCTTAGAAAGTTGATTAATCTGCGAGAGGAAGCCAGAGGCTTATTTGTTGCTTTATGTAGCTGGTCACAAATTAGGGGGAGTTGGATTTGGAACAAAATTCGGAGCAGGAAGAGCAAATTTGCTTGGCATAAAGTTGTTTGGTTTCCAGCTCACATCCCTAAGTTTTCTTTGATTACGTGGATGGCCATCCTTGATAGGTTACCTACTAGGGAGAGACTTTGTAGGTTTGCTATGGTGACTGATGCAAGCTGTGGACTTTGTGGCACTGATATGGAATCGAGGAATCATTTATTCATGGACTTTCTTTTTTCTAGGGGGTTTGGAATGCTATACTGCAGCTCTGTGGGCTGAAATTCAGTGGCCTAGTTGGGATCATATGCTTGACTGGCTGGTCAGGAATCTGAAAGGCAAATCCCTGTTAGTTCACATTCTTAAACTTTCATGGACTGGTTTTGTTTACTTTATTTGGGAGGAGCGCAATCGTAGATGTTTAAGAGGTGTGATGCGTTCGATAGATACTATTGTAAATACCATTAAAGAGTTTGTTAGAATCAAGTTACATAAACATTGCATGAATAGGCTATATAGTGTTAATAGACAGTTATGTATTGGTTGGGGCCTATTCTAGATGGTTTTCTATACTTTGTAGTAGTTTGCTGCTTTCTTTGGATGATATACAAATTTAATTATCCAAAAAAAATGTGTTCAAACAAAACAATGCTCTCAGTGCAAATGGTAGATGCAATGCCCCCTTCTTCAATTATCCATGCCCTTGAATCCATCAGGTTTTGGATTTTGCACTTCAGTGCCTTAAAATTCTTAGAGGAATGTTTAGAGCTTCCTATGTGGTAACTGCACACAGCTTCAACATCGTATCCCTTAGGTTATGGGGACTCTTTTCTCATATCATCCTGGCAGGCTTAGTCCTACAAACAGCTTATCAGGCTCCCACTGCACTGATTTCAGTTTTTCCTTTTAATTCTTACAATCTTTCTTCCATGTGGTGTCATGTGGTTAAAATGAAGAAATTTAATGTTTATGAAAATGCTTAAAATGAAATATAGATACAAAATACAAAAATGCATGAAATGTTTGAGGCATTGATCCAAAAACATGTCTGTTATTATAAATAATCTTTATTGGGGAAAAAGTGTTATTTCTTAGGAGACATAAACATCCTAAAGGTACATTCTAACTAAGTCTTATAGACTCGAAATAGGTTGACTAGTCTTTTACCTTCATCTGTCATCAGTCGAATGCCCTGTCGAACCACTCTGGCTTCTCTGGCTAAACCGTGCAAGTGACGAGCTGCTTTTCCTACTTGTTCCCAGAAGTATCGAATGACTACATCTCCAGTTTTCATCCTTTGTTGAACCTGGTCTCTAATGGAAACTCCATGGAAATCCTCCATCAAAGGGATTATCTGAAGTTCATTTGATTGTTTCTTTAATTTGTCACAATGGCCTCTAGTTTCAGCTATCGTTTTGTCATCTTGTTCTTGTTGTCTTTAAAGGACTCCCCAGGTCAGTAACCTTTTTCTCTTCTGCCCCTGTAACCTTTGCCAGCTCAGTGTAAATCATGGTCCATTCCGAGTCCTTTGTAATGCAACAGAATGGCATATTCTTCGATTGCGGATACCACGTCTTCTTGGTTGAATTATCTTACAGATTGTCTCCTTGACTATAGTCGGATCTCTTCGTTTTTCACCTCTTGTATTACAACCCTTTTGTCCATTAATACAAATTATTTAGGTTTAACGAACACATTTTTTGTGGATAAACATCTCTTTTGAATGATGCAAATAATGAAAATAAAATGAAAGAGAACAAAAATGAAAAGAGTTACTGAGGTAAGGATAATAATCAAAACAATAATGAAAATAAAAGTCCTACTGCACATGATATCTACCCCACATGCTTATTATTACTACCCGGACATGATCTCTATCCCGCATGATAATTTTGAACAGGTCCTAACCGCATAAATTTATAGTTCACATGCTTTGAACAGAAAATAAAGCATGAAATAATCTCAAAATAGCCTAGGGTTTGAAATGAGGATTTGGGATGGGCTCTAACTCCTTCTAGCCTCCCGGTTTAGATTCTAAAGAAGGTACACGATTTCTCTTTGCCGGTGCCCCCTTGGGCTTGCCAGACCCTTAGTCCTAAGTTTATTACAAGCTTATGTGTAATAAGTTAAACTCGAGAGGATACACTCCATTATGTCTGCACGGAGAATAAATTCACACGAAGACATAAGGTATATGAATCCCGAAGGTTACTTGCTAGGCCTGCACCGAGAATAAATTCTCACGAAGGCGTCACTTTTTCCCCCACTTAAAAGGGTTCGGAGCTCGGGTATAGAGCCTTAGATGGAAAAAGTTAAAATCTAAAATCATTAAAAACAATGTCAGTACAACTATTTATTTGACAAAATATTCAAAGATAAATAATTAAAATCGAATAAATAAATTAAAATTTAAACTTATAATTCTCGCTCAAAAAGATAACCAGAAATTAATTTCGGCCTGACTCACTTACCTGTCCCCAGCGGAGTCGCCAAGTTGTCGCAACCTTATTTCGAGTGGACCCGGAATTGGGCTTCAACTTAAATAAGTTGGTCGCCATCGATCATTTAAACAATATTTAGGCTGATCAAACACCATCTTACTTGATCTTCATTTTACCATAAATATTTCGGATTCGGGAGTCGGTTACAGTCAATGAAGTATTAGCACCCTTGAACTGCCCTTTTGGTACCATTTAATTTATCGTTGTCTTAATTGCACAAATTGCAATTTAAATTAAAACTTACAGACTCAATTCGAATTGCTTACCTTTTATCGATTGAAATTACCTCTAAAAAGTTGAAAACGTTAGGTTATAAAATAAAAGAAATATCAAATAAAAATTAAATCTAAAAACACAAATCAAAGAATGAAATATTAAATTTAAAAAATGTTATATACAAAATGTTAAAAGAAAAAATAAAATAAATGAAGAAAATATTAAATTTCTGAAAAGAAAAATAAAAAAATATAAAAAAAATGTTAAAAGAGAAAATAAAAGTTAAATAAAATAAAATTAAAAAAGTGGGAAAATAAAGATAAAACAAAATAAGATAAAAAAAGGGAAATATAATAAAATAATAAATAATAGTAGTAAATATAAAAAGGAGTTTTTAAAAGTTGTTTTTAAAATAAAAGATAAGAATTAAATAAAAGAAACTAATTAAATAAATAATCTAAAGAGATTGAGATAAA